TGTTGCTGAGCATGTTCCAACATACGAACTTCTTCGAATGCATGTTGAAGGTGAGGATTGTACTTCTGCAAAAGTCGTTGGCGAATGTCATTGGATATTAGTCCTGTGATGAAGGCGTCGCGGATAGCCCCGTCACGATGCTTTTCAGCAGGAACAGACAAGAAGGTACAGTCAACAGCCAGGCTGCGTAGTTTCTGTATAAACTGATCGACTGATTGTCCATTTTCTTGTTTAGTTGTTGCTAATACATGGTGCGCACAGACTTCGTTTTTCGGTTTGATATACAGAGCTTCTATGCTTCGTAGCATCTCCTCGTAAGTGGAACAGCCGATAACTTGTCGATAAATTGCTGCAGAGATGAAGTTGATTAGGAGTTTTCTTGTATCGACGTCGGGGATCTCTACCGTTGAAAGAAAATTGTCGAAGGTGTCCCGCCAATGGATCCTTGCTCGGCTGCTGTAGGAGAATGAAGATCAGCATCAAAGCGTTCGGGGCGGACGAGACGTTCCATTGTCAGAAGATTAAATTGTTATATTCGAAAAATGCGGAATAATGCAGAAGGGGAGTCTGGCCGTATATAGGCTTTAATCTTATAACAATCGTAGTACACAAGCTACAGTGTAAGAAAAAGGAAAGTTAATAAAATTTTAATGTGAAATATGGTAACACATCAGTTTATGATACGCGTACCGGCCAACTATGGAGTTTTCATTCGAGGCTTATCACCGTCTTTATCACTCAAGATAAGCTTATGCAGTCACGGCTATTAAAATTGATAAAACAATGCAGATCGCCTTCCCTGAATCATCGTTCGAATTATACTTAAAACGGAGCCATATTTTTTTCTTCCAACGTTCGAATGTTAACGTGAATTTGGATTTTCCCCGATTCTTCTCATTTCTCTTATCTAGATGAGAGCAGCTTCTGGTGTGCAGTTGTCATATCAATTGCACTTACTACTCTTCCCATCCGGATCGCATCGCAATCCGAACCAGTCGGCTGTGCCACTTATTCGTGGTGCCACAATTCAAGATAACACAAATATTGTTTGTGACTCCGGTGCAAATGCTTGTCCCGTTGCTTTGAACCACGCAATCTATTCGATGCTTCGTACGAATCGTCAGAGTCGACGTTCTTTCATTTCTAGTCTGTTATCATTGTTTGATATAGAACAGGTACGCCATTTCGTATATGAAATACCATGCTGAGTATAGTCCAAATTTTTTCGTTTATATATTTACATAGACAAATAACCATATTCTGCAGTGGCTTGAATTTTCAGTTTTAATGACTGCGTTTTTGAGTTTCTGTGCTTTAACTCTTCCAGTGTTCACAGTTTACATCTAAGGCAGCGATACGACATCTCTTATATTACCTGTGTACTGGTACTGTTGTGGTCTTATTGGATGGTCCGAAGGATGACCATTTTACCCAAATGATCATAATAATTATTTAGTGTTGAAGCACCGATGTTGGTGACAGAATAAAATAACAGTACAAAATGTCTAAGTGTCTAACTTTTACAGACTGAGGTGATTGTGACTTGCGTTACACCTTCTCGTTGATCAGTATTAGCTAATATAGATTGATTGTATCATAAATGACACTGTTCAGTCCGTTTGACAGGGAAAATATGAAAATCTTCACTGATTGAACCATTCGAGATGGTCCAGTTGAAATTCACCGTCATGCTTCAAAGAAACTGAAATTTATGAATGGGTTCAGTATGGAAAACGTTCTTTGTATTTCAAGTCGTCTACTTCATTTCACCGCACGTACAGCTTTGTGTCTCAGACCCATTTAGTTGGAATTCCCTTCTGCGGATTCAGTCAGGAATGATCACAGACTGCAACAGAAATCAAAGTAATAGCATTCGTAGTTTATAGCTTTATAACGTAAACCAGAATGCACGTGATATTTTAGTTAATATTTCATGCACTCTCTTGACTAAGATTGATGCTTTACAGAATGAATACATGACCGAACGGCCAAAATTTGACTTTGACAGGTAGATTTCAATGAGGACATACGACAGCAAATAATTGTTTCCCATGATTGAATTGTTACGCTGGCTTGGAAATCAGATAGATTCTCTCACCGTCCGATGTTTACATAGGTAGGCAATGGTCAGAAGAGCGTTCAGGGGAGGATAGTCAAGAGATCTCTGATTTGAGAATGCAGAATCTCACTGGGAATGCTCCGATACTCATATTCCAGCCTTCTAATCATAGCAATTTCTTAAGGCGATTCCCATAATAAGTAACATCGGTAGTTGAAGCCAGCTAACCTTGTGAGACTGAGCTTTGTTTGACCACTACCGGTTGCTCTTTCACAGTGTCAGATCTGATCGTGCCTGAAGGTCAACCGGTAGTGGTCAAACAAAGCTCAGTCTCACAAGGTTAGCTGGCTTCCTTTGACCATCCCCTGCAAATTCCACTCTGGAAGCTCTCACACGGGCGCTTCCGTCAGGCTCCGGCGTAGGAGCTACGCCCCCACTGCCTTGTGTATCAGACTTGTGAATCGAATGCTGCGGTTAGCCCCCCCCCCCAGAAAAAAAACCCGAACACCCGCGGGTGAAACTTCAAAGTCAAAGGCTCCTGTTAGGGTTCTCAAAGTCTCAGGCACCTATTTGGAAAAGTCTCCCTTTTCTGTCTAGTTCCTCCTCACTCCCAAATCGTACGAGATGACTCCTGTTTGCGCCATCCATGGAACATCAACTAGTAAGTTTCAGTTTCAGTTTTTACAACCATTAACCCTACACTTTCGTGAGCCGGTTTGGGTGACCCATTTGGATAAAAGAGCAAAATGAAGATTCAAATGCTGAGAGAAGATTCAAAAGGGTTATCGCGATTTCATATTTACTGGGGTTGCAAGAATATTGAGTAGATGCACGAGCGCCACTGTTTGCGAGACAGCCACCACCGGTTACCATGATCTCGGGGTCCACACCCAGGAAGCCTAAAGGTGCCTATGTGACTCAACTAGTAAGGAGAGCCAATCGGAATTTATAGGATTGTTGAAACCAAAATCCCCTTCTCACTTAGCCGCACACTCTGTCAAAGTGAAAGTGAAAGTTTCATTATGGGAATAACTTACAAGCTCGTGCTTCTCTTGTCCCATAGGATATCTATACAGATGAGTCGTTACACGTCGAAAAAGGAATCACATAGAGTTCCGGGTAGGAGATAATAGAGAATGTAGGGTACAGTGAATTTGCGTTTGCTTTTAGTGGTGTACGAATGTCAGGNGGGTGCACGAAAGACATGAGATAGAAGGGCGTTTCAAGAACTGCACACTCTGACTTCAAAAGACTTGCGCCGGCATTCCAGTCGATACTTTGAAATCAGTAGCTTGAAACGGTGTCCACTTGGATGTACATTGTTCGATAACACGAGCAGCGATCGACACAGATGGTTTGGATTCTGCAGTATCTGATACGTCAGAATCAAGTCTCCCCGAGTTCGACGGTACCGAGCAGAATATGAGCCTAATGATCGTAATCTCTCCGCCTATATCAGGTAATGCAATCCCTTGGTCATCTTGGTGGCCATCCTTTGTGGACGCTCAAGCATCTTGCGATCACGTTGAAGCCATGGACTACAAGCTCGGATGGTGTACTCCGTCGAATGTACGCTGATTGCAAACGTGGGAATAGTGATGATTCAAACCGGTCAAAGAATCGTCGAAGTAAGCCGACAATCCTCATAGCAGCGGACGAAGCCTTAGCACAATTGATGGAACAGCTTAAATCCTCTTGAACAACAATACCTAAGTCCCTTTTACTAGAAGTGTGCGATAGCTGCTGGTCCCCGAGGAAATACGGGAATTTTCGCTTGTGGCGTAGGGATAGGACTTTGCATTTAGAAACATTAAATTCAATGTCGTTCTCCTTAGACCATTGATAAGCTGCGTTGAGTGATTCGTGAAGTGTTAGAGAGCCCTCGGGTTCTGTTACCGTGTTCCAGATTTTGGCATCGTCTTCAAACAGTATTGTTTTTGTGCCTAACACTTTCGGTAGATCATTTATGAAGGCCAGGAACAGACGGGGACCGATTACGGACCCTTGTGGAACACCGCGGGTGGCATTGATAAACCCGGATATGGAATCAGAAACACGAACTGATATGGTTCGTTGTTTGAGGAATGCTTTGATCCACTCAAATGCGAAATCTCGAACTCCATAATTGTAGAGCTGCAGCAAAATTTTTTTGATTCACCCGATCGAATGCTTTCGGGAAGTCGAGATAAATCGCATTCAACGCATCCCCTTCGTCAACCGTACTGGTCCATTCATCTCGAACAAGAAGCAAGTTGGTGGAGCAGTGTCGCTTTAGCTTGAACCACAATTGACTCTATGACTTTCGATAACACCAGAAGCAGAGTAACAGGTCGGTAGTTAGCGGGGTCACTACGACAACCACCTTTGTATATGGGCGAAATGACTCCTTGTTTCTACGATTTGCGGAGTGTTGCTTGGTCGAACGTTCATTGAAACAGAATGGCTAGAGGTTTGGATATGTGATTTACCAAAAGATCAGAGATTTCGGGTGTATGCTGTCCGCACCTGGGGTTGCATTTTTTCGCAAAGCCATTATTTTCGCTTTGACGTATTCAGCAGTAAATGAAACGTAGGTCAGTGAAGGATGTGAAAGATGATGCGACCGGGGG